CACTAAGTTGCCTAGCCTAGTTTCAAACTTGCAGTCCTCCTGCTCAGCCATCCAGAGTGCTAGATTTACAGGTGTGCACCACTCCACCCACCTACTCACTTATTCTCTGGGTCCATATGTTACGATCTGTGTGAGGCTCAAAAGACAAAATTTCGCCTTTACTTTTAAAGAACTGAACTTTTAGTATGGGACTCATAATACGGTGGCTAAATATTCAACTTTAATATGACAGTTGGCAAAAGCTTCGATCTTAAACATTCTCCAAAGGCCCATCCATATTTGACAATTTAGTCACCAGCCTGTATTATTATAGGGACATGGTAGAAATTTAGGAAGCAGGACCTAGTGGGGGGAAGTTAAATCATTGGGTGTGTGTGCTTAGAGGAGATTTGGGGATCCTGAACACTTTTCCTCTCTCTCTTCCTGCCTGCTGGCTGTGATGAGGTGAGCAGTTTCCTCTTACACACACACACACACACACACACACACACACACACACCCACCCACCCACCACGATGTATTGTCTTGCCATGGGCCCCAAACAATAAAGCCAACAGACCGTGCACTAAAATCTCTAAAACTGAGCCCAAATGAATCTCTCCTCTTTTAAAGTTGATCACCTCTCTCCCTGAACTCCCAAGTCATTAGGAAAATTACTCAGGTCACCATACCTTGATCCATTAAAACTTATTTTTTTTCTGACAAAAAAAAAAAAAAGCTGGTAAAATGGCCAAGCTGTGGATTGAAACTGGCAACGTTCCCAAACAATGTCTTCATGTGTAGAGGGTAAGAGCTCATAAGTGGCAGCTATCGCCACCCACATCACTACTGCAAGTGCGTCAGATGTGTGAACCAGCTCGATGAGGGCTGACAGGAAGGAGGGCTCAGCTGGCCGGGTGGATTTGTCCTTAATTATATTTTCTCAAACATAAGTCCCAGTCAGACACTGGTTAAGAAAAACCTTTGCTTAAATCTCAGGGCCAAGAAAGCATTTTGCAGCCTAGATTCTAAAGAGTTTTGTAGGTTGGAAGTCTGTATGAACGTGAATTATATGAGCTTTCGTTAATGAAGGATGCTTTGGGAACATAAACCTGTTTGTCTTCATGCCAGGCCTCTCCTGAGTCAAGTTTTATGTGATAAGAAGTGAATATGTCAGGGGTACCTGCTGTTTTGGGGCTTCCTGATACACATGCAAGACTGATTTCCCGAGTCCCTTGATATTTGTAGTTCATTCCCACGTGTGTTTTACTGGGCTCCTCCTTTGCTTTTTTCTGTCCATTTGCTCTCGTTGCTACTTGCTGTAGTATCTTCTTTGGCTGAGTTGATCTCGTACTTGTCACACTGCTTTCTCTCTCTATCTCTTTGGCATCAGCCTGGTCGGGGATGGATCTACCAGGGAGCTCACATTTGTCTGTGCTCTGCTGATGGATGTGGGCCTGGCCCCCAGAAATCTGTCAGCAGAGGGAGCGGGCTGTCTCCTGGGAGAGCTTAACTTTATACACAGTGGCAAGTCCATAAGCAGAGGACAACAAACTCAGCACAAGAACAAAGCTTTAGTCCCTGGAGGTAAAAAAAAAAAACAAAACAATTCTATGAAGAGCAGTGATTGGAACATCTCCCCATCACCACGAGCTCAGGCCTGTATTTTATAAATATGTTTAGCGACTAATGTAGCAGAGACTGGCTGGATGCTCCCCAAACTCATTTCTTTTCCTTCCTGTGTTTGCACCTTCCCGGCACACATAATCTGTGTCTGCGTTCTAGCGGAATAAATGTGGGCAGAAGTCACCCGCACCAGCTCCAGGCCTGTGTGATCTGCAATGAGGATGCTCTACTGAAGGTCTCCATGGGCTGAAGAAGCCTCACAGGAAGAAGAAGCCCACAGGAAGACCCTGGGTCCTTGGGTGGCTGGGGGGAATAGAGCGCTACCTTCTCCGCCTCCCGCTTTGTGACATAAGCGAAAATAAACTTGTGTTCTCTAACATCACTGAACCGTCGAGGTTGTTTGTTATGACCATTACCTTGTCCTGATTGAGTCAGTAAGTAAAAATAGGAAGCTATATCTAATGAAAATACTGCATCTGATCTTGAGGGATACGCAGTACAGCACTGGCTATCTTCTAACAATAAAGTATAATTTAAGAAGAGGAGAGAGTCATTCTTCTCTACTTTCCACGGCACTGCACAGTTTTTACACATTTTAACCCATGATGTGGCACTGAACAGGAAGAACCCTATTGAGAGGAGGCCACAGGCCTGCACACAGGACACGGCCACAGGCTTGGCAATCCCAGTGGTGTCAAAGGAATGGGTGGCAGCTTTTGGTGGACAAAATACTCTTGGCTCCAAGAGAAAGTCATGAAACCTAGTAGGGAGGTGACGACCTGGACAAGTGACCATGATGTGACCAACAAGTATTAGGTGATCACGTCTGATGTCCTGTAATTAAATGCAGGACACATCGAGATTTCGGGTGATACTTGGAATATCACAAAAGCAATAAGGCCTGGCAACCGCAATAAGGCCTGGCAACCGTAGGTTTACTCCATAAGTTATCAGAACCTGACAGAATTGGGGAGAAATACTCCCATCCATAGATCAGTGCAGGAGGAATAAAAGGTGGTTTTATGGCTTCAGTTGAGATTTTCAGAAAACAAAATTTTCCCCTTTCTCAGTAGTGCAGCTGTGAGGAAGGTGTTCCTCCCAAGCCAGTTTTGCTTTACTTTTCTGGAGGCGAGCCAAGTTCACAAGTCAGGCGGCTTCTGGGCATATCTGTATTTTCCAGTGACCTCAGTGGGTGTTTTGGCATCAAAGATATTTACAGTACACCTGGTAGCTAGAGAGGAACTCATAGGTATTCTTTCTATAAAGGGCAAAGATCCTGATTCCTTTGATAATTGCTTTGAACTTTTTCTTTAGTTGAAAGAAAAGTATATTAAAGTTGAAAAACAGATGAACAGATCTGAGTATTCTCTCCAATTTTCTCTAGTTCCGATAGCTTGTAGAGGAAATCATATTATCAGCTTTTATAAATGTTCTACACTTGGAACAAAGGATGGTCAGACCTATAATTCCAATGTTAAATTTGGGGATGCGGGAGATTTCTGGCAGGGGTCAGGGAAGCAAAATGGAGGAAAGCTGAGGAATTTGGGGAGGAAAAGATTTCTCGGTACTGCCTGTCCTTGAAAATAATTTGTGCAGAGCTGGGGTGATGATGAGGGAACGTAAATGTTACACAGATTAGGCATAGCAATCTGAAGGGCTGGCGATGTCACATCTATTTGACATGTGTCTGCCCACATTTGTTCAAGTGCATACACATAAGCGGATGGGTGATCACAGGCACTTTGGGTAACTATCCAATTTGAGGCAAAGCTTTTCATCAAAATACAAACTATACAATTTTATATCTTACTTAGGTCCCATAAGAAGGGACACTCTAGGAATACACCTTTTCACTAAGACAATGAACAGATTTCCCTTCTATCCCATGTAGCCCAGCTGTTCTGGTCCACCTGCCCATTGCTCTGGAAGAGTTCTTGCCATTCTGCAACTAAACCACCACACGTTTTCTCCTTCTACACTTGAAGGTCATTTTCCTCAGTCTTTGTATCCCACAATATGTTCTAATTAGCTAATCTGATATCAGGCAAGCAACTACTGGCTCATTGTGACTTGTGTTTCTTTTTTTAAATGACCTACATTGATGTAAAATATGGTTTTTAATTCTACCTCCAGGGAAGTGGCAAACAACATACATTTTTTGTTATTGCAGAATGCTGAAGGAATCCATAAATAAATTATTGAACCCTTAAATTATTAACTTTATTGTTTGTTATTAAGTTAAAATTTAAACATAAAAACTTTACTAAATTATCAATCGAAAGAAGAGCTAAAACTAATAAAACACTAACGCCTGGTACTGTTCTGGGTGCCTTACACTTAGATTCCCTGTACAATTCTGTGAAGCAGGAACTATTTCAAATCCATTTTACAGATGAGGAAATTCAGGCAGGGAGAGATTAAACAATTAGTTGTCTGTTTAGTTGTTAGGAAAAGACAGAGTTGGGATTTGAACTTGGGAGGCCAAACTCAGAGCATAGGCTCTGCCAGACTGAGAGATCTTTCCTTAGAGGGAAAAGCTGTGTCAGACCAAAGCTCTGTCAGACTGAGTGATGTTTCTTCAGAGGAAGAGGCAGAGAAGGTGGCTAGAGCACGGGACTCCTCAGCCAGAAGAGGTTCATCTACAGTTTCTCGCAGGATGAGTGGCCTCCGAAGTGCGTGGCATTTTGGAGTTTTTATTCCGATACTAAGAAGTAACATCGTTCTTCCAGGTATTGGTTTTCTCTTCAACAAAACAAGGAGGTGGAGTAGATGGCCTGTAAGGTGGCCCTGGTGCCAAGGTAATGCAAGATCGTCAGCCTTCCTGCATTAAAACGTTGATCTCCGGGCAGAAGCAAGCTGGTTCCTGCTTCCTAGAGCAGGCAAGCGTGGAGCTTCGGGGTAGGGTGCTAAGTAGACGCCTGCGAAGAACTGGGAACAAGAAATGTGGGTTAGAGCTCCAGGGCACTTCAGCGTGTACCTAAGGAACATAAAAGAGACACCATGAACTGTGTCTTCAACAGGTCACATGTCATTTGCCCAGCGACAGCTTATAAAGTAGACAGTGTCCTCTCCACTTAAGAACGAAGCTGAAGCTTACACGAACACCCCAAGTGTCTTGCCCAACGTGGCCCAGCCCGTGAACAATGCAGATAGGCCCCAAATCCAGTCGTTCAACCCCAAAGCCCACGCACATTTCACAACCCGCGCCTCTATAAGTATCTGCTATCTCCCTGCAGTCTCTCCGCAAGCCTAGGTAGGAGGTGGTTATTGTTGTCTGCATACACGGATGAGGCAAACGAGGCTTCAAGTGGGAGGTGTCTCGCTGGGTGATCTGCGCTGCAGCCCTGCTCCTCCTCCCGCCTGGCTGGGGCGCGGGTCCCACCTTCCCCGGCCGCAGCCCCCGCGCAGCCGGGCCGCGAACTACACTTCCCGGCAGGACGCGGCGCGCGCAGGCGCACCGGGGCCTCCGCCATGGCGACAGTGCTGTCCAGGGCGCTCAAGCTCCCGGGTAAGGAGTCGCAGCTGTGCGACCACCCTGCCCTCGCCGGGGACTGGGCTGCGCGGGAGGCGGGGGTCCGGGGGCGAGGCTGGCCCGGGACTGTCCCCAAACCCGGAGGGCTTCGGGCGCCCCGAAGCGAGCGGAGTGCAGCGCCCCGGATGGGGTCGGGGCGCCGCCAGGTGGCGGGAGGGGCGCGGCGAGGC